GGGTTAGATGGAAATGTCGAATGGGGAAAGGTGTGCTCTTCGCGATTGAAGAAGAAAAATGGAAGCGTTTCATTCTCACACCAGCAGTTATGACTTAAGCCGGACACATGACCCGAAAGAATGAGACACAATGTAGGTGAGGATAATGGAGACGATAATTGAGTCACGGGTTTGAAGCCTAGAGACAGAAATATTCCCAGGCACTGGGAATGGACAAGAGCATAATCTGCTCTAAATCCTCGGATATGGCGCAATCGAGGACGGGAATGGAAGCGGTCAATTGACAAGCGAGTAGGGAAAAAAGGGGGGGTGAAGAATATAGGTCAAAGTCCTGCAAGCGGCATCTGGTTCGGGTAATGGAGATTATTATGCTTCACCAAACCTACTTGTAGCGACACTCTATGGGACATTGAAGGAAACGAGAGTATATGATTGTGTGAATAAGTGGATGAACCATATGAAATTGTGTTAAGAGAAAGAGATGCAGCACTAGAGGGTAGAACAAAAAATAGGTGCAAGTGATGCGACAACGGTTGAATAGAAAATTTTTCAACGGGATTTCCTTCACTTCTCACTCTATGCCTACAATGCCGGCGAAACGTTTGGAAATGTACCTAGCCACTAGTCCGATGCTGGAAATTACGAATATTATGGAGGAGAAAGCGGGACTTAATGCGCTGCTTAAAGTCTACCTGACGCTCCGACCAAGTTGCGAAAACAAAATCGAATCAACACTATAAAGCTAAAGGAGATTGCGACCAAACAGAAGGCCACACCATCTTGGTCTAAATATCTACGATTAAAAAATATCCTGATCGCGTCTATAAGTCATAGCAGTATTTGAAATTCAGAGTAATATTTACTCCCAGAAGTTAGGGGATGCTAGTTCATATAAATATAACAGCATTCATAAGCACGTGCCGGAGATATGAGTAACAAAAATGTGAAAAATAATTATTTCAGCGACGCTTAATTTTTGGGTAAAGCGTCATATTACTTAAAAATTAATTTGTTTAGGTATTTAATAAAGGATACGGGAACCGGATGACCCAAAGAAATCCATTCTCCAAGTATACAAATCCCGGCTCTCTTTCCTTCAGCAGAAGAGCAGAATTTCGATCAATTCTCGGCTTCGAAGCGGCATCATGGCTTCGTAATGATGACTCATCATCGTAGTTTATCTAAGAGGAAAAAATCATACTGGATTACCCTAAAGTATAAGGTCATCATATGTCTCTTCCCTTGCATTAATGCAATATAAAGTCAATGTGATGAGTATGAATGCAAAGGAGAAGTTTTGTTTCGTTCTAATATACAGAATGAAAGAACTGGCTATAAAGGAATGAAAAAAATATTAGAGCAAATTAGGTAAATTCCGGCGTTTTTGGTGGCAAAAGGATTAAGAATTACTAGAACGATATTAATTTGAAACCAAAAACAATAAAGGAGTGGCTTTTTGGCTTCGCCGCGGCATGTCGCACAGTCATTATCGAAATCCTATTTTTCTTCGCATACAATAATTGACGGGTTCATTGCTCGCCATATGTACATAAAAACTATTCATAGAGCTGAACATGAACTGAGAAATCAATTTAAGTGCTACACCTCAATAGAGCCATAGAAAATTAAACGAAAAATGCATATGGTTGGACAAATGAGCAGGTGATGAATTCCATAATAAGGAAGCAAAACGACCGACGGCTAAGGATTGCAAATATCAGTGGACTCATGAGCTCTTCGTTTTTAACCCATTTGTCACCACTGACTAGAGAGAAAGAAAAACTCAAAAGAATTAATGCAATTTGGGAATCGGCTTAATGAAATAACTGAAATTAACAATGGAGTAGTAGAGGACCGTAGGCTACCAATCTTGAATTTAAAAGTCATTTACTCTAATGGTACTATTGGTTCCGAAAACCTACTTATAAACTGAAAATAAGTAAAGCAGTCGATTCTTACAGCAAATACATCATTAATTCGTTGACTATTTCACCACACAAATTACATATGGGAAAGGCTTAGGCTTCGCTGGAATTAAATTCCTCTCTATGACAAAAGGGCAGTCCACCATAACGCGCTGAGACTAAAAGCTGCGCTACTCGGATTCGAGTCGCACTTGGGAGCTGATGAGACCTAGGCGAGTTCTAAACAAAAGTTCTTCCTGGATAAGAATACCTTTTGTGAAGCATGAGGTCTACCTGTAGCATTCTTAGAAAATTCAAGTGCAAATTACATCTTAAACGAAATAGAGTGAATGTGCCTCTATATCAGATATACTTTTAGCCTCGAAAACCTAGTGAAAATAATTGATGCAGCCGATTGCTATAGCAAATACAAAATAAATATGATATGGGAAAGACAGGGGCACAGATAAAAAAGTAAATATTTCGCGAACTGTGAAATTACGTTACGACACTGTCTTCCTCGTTCTAGACATTCATCTTCATCGGCTTCTCTATCACCTGCACTAGCCTTGTTGATTTCAAACCCTCGAAGGTCCTCTTCCTCCTGTTCAGAGTCGTCAAGCGCGTCGGAATCAACGCCAACCTCGTAATATTCATCATCATCATCTATCTTCTGATCCACGCCTTCAGTTCCCTCCGCATCGTTACCATCTTCGCCATCCTCATAGTCGTAATCGTAATTGTCCTCCTCTTCACCATCCTCATCGTTACCATCCCCATAATCATCCACATAATCGGCATCCCGCCGTCCACGTAACGAATGTCGGCGACTGCCAGCAGTACTTTTGGCAATAGACTGCTGCCTTTGTGTCTGCTGGAAATGGTGTTCGGCTGCCGCAGCGGCGGCATATGCCATTGCCTCCTCTTCAGTTTCTTGCATCTGACTGGCCAGTTCCTGATCAAGAGTACGACCAAGGTGGAAAACAGGTCCCGTCACAAACGAGCCTATACGGTGACCTTGGCAGACTTTTGTGCCGTTGCGTTGGTTTAAGGTGACGGTGCCAGAGAAAGAATCCGAAGGTGAGGGACAAACACGTGGAGAGAAGCGGACGCGAATCGGAGCCGAAGGTAGGGCAATATAGACGCGCATCAGCTGAGCCCATACTTCACCTTGGCCTGAGTTTCCTTTATCAATTGTTGCATTTTTGACGCTGGCAGCAGAATTATCTAAATTCTCTGACCCAGCTCCAGTGCCAGGAGTAGATGCGTTGGAGCTCGTAAGGGTAGATACCTGGGTGCTAATCGATTCGCTCTGGTGTGTTTGAAGCAGGTCACCACGCTTGCGTACAATTGTGTCGAGCAAGTTACTTCTAGATGTGGAAGCTGTACCAGAAGATGGTTTGCCTGTGCCGAAGAAGCAGAGCAATAAAAGCTGATGCAGAACATATATAAATTATTTTAAATGATCATTTGGGGGAAACTGCTCTACTCACTCAAAATGATGGCCAAATCGGGTCAGATAGAGATGACTACATACTTTGGATCATAATATTACCCGATTTAGAACTTCAAATATAGGTAAAAGAAAGAAAACAAGAATATAAAATTTGCGCCCCACGGCTTCTAGTCCAACTTAGTAACAATCCACAATTTGTTCAGTGAATAAAGTATTTGGAAGTATAAATTTATAAATAGAAGAGAGCTAATGGGAAAAAATGGAGGAAATTTTGTCCGCAATAAAAAAATAATCAACTATACTTGTTGTTTTTATATGCTTGCCAATGCTTCCTTGATTAAGGCAAACAAGAAACCTCATTAAGATCGCAAAGTTATATATAAGGAGCAAGTGTGATTTCAGCCGGCCAACTTTCTTGGTTCATTATATTTGGTATTTTTATATGAGGCGATTTAAATAAATAAATTAAGGATTTGATTGAAATTGACGAATGTGGTAGAATGCTGTATAAGAATTACTTACGCTTAGTTGAAAGATTGAAG